ATCCTCCCCCACCAGAACCCCTCATCCCAGACTTGCCACCTTCTGCTGTCAAGGAAAAACTTTGTGTACGTAAGAGACCAAGTTGGAGTGAGTTGTTGGTCCTGGTGGTAATCCTGTTATGGCGGGGACTGAGGGGAGAGGTGAGAGAGAGAGAGAGAGGGAGAGGTGAGAGAGAGAAGAGAGAGAGAGAGAGAGAGAGAGAGAGAGAGGAGAGAGAGAGAGAGAGAGAGAGAGAGAAGAGAGAGAGAGAGAGAGAGAGAGAGAGAGAAGAGACAGAGAGAGAGAGAGAGAGAGAGAGAGGGGTGAGAGAGAGGGAGAGAGAGGGAGAGAGAGGGAGGAGAGAGGGAGAGAGAGGGAGAAGAGGAGAGAGAGAGGGAGAGAGAGGGGAGGGAGAGGGAGAGAGCGGGAGAGAGAGGGAAGAAAGGAGGGAGAGTCGTAGGATAGAGAGAGAGATAGGAGAGCTCTAATAGAGAGAGATCGAGAGAGAAGAGCGAAGAGGAGAGAGAGCGAGAGAGAGAGAGAAGAGAGAGAGAGAGAGAGAGAGAGAGAGAGAGAGAGAGAGAGAGAGAGAGAGAGAGAGAGAGAGAGAGAGAGAGAGAGAGAGAGAGAGAGAGAGAGAGAGAGAGAGAGAGAGAGAGAGAGAGACAGAGAGAGAGAGAGAGAGAGAGAGAGAGAGAGAGAGAGAGAGAGAGAGAGAGAGAGAGAGAGAGAGAGAGAGAGAGAGAGGAGAGAGAGAGAGAGAGAGAGAGAGAGAGAGAGAGAGAGAGAGAGAGAGAGAGAGGAGAGAGAGAGAGAGAGAGAGAGAGAGAGAGAAGAGAGAGAGAGAGAGAGAGAAGAGAGAGAGAGAGAGAGAGAGAGAGAGAGAGAGAGAGAGAGAGAGAGAGAGAGAGAGAGAGAGAGAGAGAGAGAGAGAGAGAGAGAGAGAGAGAGAGAGAGAGAGAGAGAGAGAGAGAGAGAGAGAGAGAGAGAGAGAGAGAGAGCAGAGAGAGAGAGAGAGAGAGAGAGAGAGAGAGAGAGAGAGAGAGAGAGAGAGAGAGAGAGAGAGAGAGAGAGATAGAGAGAGAGAGAGAAGAGAGGAGAGAGAGAGAGAGAGAGAGAGAGAGAGAGAGAGAGAGAGAGAGAGAGAGAGAGAGAGAAGAGAAGACATTAATAGGAGAGACAAATATCGGAAAGACGGGAACAGGAAATGAAACAAAAGTTAAGAGGAGAGAAGCTGGGACACGTAATATCAAGGCGGGATATATTTATGCGCTGTTTACAACCCGACATTTCACAAGTTGTCTCAAAAGTAATCTTGGTGATTGGTCGGCCAGATTAGACCTCATCACATTCTTCACGAACCATCCAAAGTTTTACCCATAACTTTCTCGTTCTCTCCATCACCATGGGCTGATGATGAGGCGTTTGGCTGGCTTATATTGGTGTGTGTGTGTACTCACCTAGATGTTCTCACCTAGTTGTGTCTGTAGGATCAAGCATTGACTCTTGGATCCCGCCTTTCGGGCATCGGTTTTTTACAGCAATGACTACGGTCCTATTTCCCCTATCTTACCTAGTTTTAAAAGTATGAATAGTATTTGCTTCCACAACCTGTTCCCTAAGTGCATTCCATTTTCCCATTACTCTCACGCTAAAAGAAAACTTCCTAACATCTCTGTGACTCATCTGGGTTTCCAGCTTCCATCCATGTCCCCTCGTTCTGTTACTATTCCGTGTGAACATTTCGTCTGTGTCCACTCTGTCAATCCCCCGGAGTATTTTATACGTTCCTATCATGTCCCCCCTTTCCCTTCTTCTTTCTAGTGTTGTAAGGCACAGTTCCTTCAGGCGCTCCTCATACCCCATCCCTCGTAACTCTGGGACGAGTCTCGTTGCAAACCTCTGAACCTTTTCCAGTTTCATTATATGCTTCTTCAGATGGGGACTCCATGATGAAGCAGCATTCTCTAAGACTGGCCTCACATAGGCAGTGTAAAGCGCCCTAAATGCCTTTAGAGCGTGTGTGTGTGTGTGTGTGTGTGTGTGTGTGTGTGTGTGTGTGTGTGTGTGTGTGTGTGTGTGTGTGTGTGTGTGTGTGTGTGTGTGTGTGTGTGTGTGTGTGTGTGTGTGTGTGTGTGTGTGTGTGTGTGTGTTTGTGTGTGAGTTTGTGGGCGTAGGTACTCGCCTATTTGTGCCTGCAGAATCCAGCGTTAGCTCTTGGATCTCGCTTTTCAATCCACCAGTTGTCTAATGCTATGCCTCCTGACCTATTTCACTATCCCCCTATTTTTTTTTTTTTTTTTGAGATATATACAAGAGTTGTTACATTCTTGTACAGCCACTAGTACGCGTAGCGTTTCGGGCAGGTCCCTGGAATACGATCCCCTGCCGCGAAGAATCGTTTTTTCATCCAAGTACACATTTTACTGTTGCGTTAAACAGAGGCTACAGTTAAGGAATTGCGCCCAGTAAATCCTCCCCGGCCAGGATACGAACCCATGACATAGCGCTCGCGGAACGCCAGGCGAGTGTCTTACCACTACACCACGGGGACTAAATTTGAATGGAGTTTGCCTCTACAACCTGCTCCTTTTGTTCCTTAAATTTTCCCACTACTCTAATGCTAAAAGAAAGCTTTCTAACATCCCTATGACTCATCTGAGTCTCAAGCTTCCACCGGTGCCACCTTGTTCAATTGTTTTTCATTGGGAACATTTATTCTATTTCCACTCTGTAAATCCTCTTAAGTAGTTTATATGTCTATCATGTCTTACCTAGCTCTCCTTTTTTTTAGCGTCGTTAGGTTCATTTCATTCAGTCTCTCTTCCTTTCCCAACCCCGGTCGGGGGAGCCGGTCGGCCGAGCGGACAGCACCTTGGATTTGTGATCCTGTGGTCTTGGGTTCGATCCCAAGCGCCGGCGAGAAACAATGGGCAGAGTTTCTTTCACCCTATGCCCCTGTTACCTAGCAGTAAAATAGGTACCTGGGTGTTAGTCAGCTCTCACGGGCTGCTTCCTGGGGGTGGAGGCCTGGTCGTGGACCGGGCCGCGGGGACACTAAAAAGCCCCGAAATCATCTCAAGATAACCTCAAGATAACCCCTTACAATTCTGGGACGAGCCTCGTCGCAAACATCTGAACCTTTTCGTGTTTCCGTATGTGTTTCTCTAGGTGGGGCAGCATACTGTAACACATATCTCACGTAGGTCTAGGTCACGTGGGGCCTCGTAGCCTGGTGGATAGCGCGCAGGACTCGTAATTCTGTGGCGCGGGTTCGATTCCCGCACGAGGCAGAAACAAATGGGGAAAGTTTCTTTCACCATGAATGCCCCTGTTACCTAGCAGTAAATAGGTACCTGGGAGTTAGTCAGCTGTCACGGGCTGCTTCCTGGGGGTGGAGGCCTGGTCGAGGACCGGGCCGCGGGGACACTAAAGCCCCGAAATCATCTCAAGATAACCTCAAGATAGGTTATGAACAGCGATCTAAATGCCTCTTTATTTATGTTCCTGAATGATTAGTAATAGTAATATCTTCCACGGAAATATGGTCAGGTGTCTTTTCCGTAATCCTGCTATTCTGATAACTAAGAGTTGTTATTAATAGACGTGTTCACCTGGATGTTATTCCTCGTAACTCTCTCCGTACACCGAGGAACGCGGGTAATGGCACTGCTTTCATTCATGCATTTAGCTCAACTCTACAACTGCAGTTCCCAGAATAACAGGATTACAGAAAGGACACATGACCGTAGATGAACGTACCGCTGGTACATTGGCAGTCAGGGATAGTGGTGACATGATCAGGCGGTCAAGAAGGATAAGAGGACCGGACTCAGGATAGCTGCCTCTCTACACGTTGAGATGTAAGTATCATCCTAGTCACACACTCAGAACTTGACAAAGAACTCAGAAGAGTGCAAAAGACTTGGTGTAAATTCCTTACATAAATTTCACAAATACACAAGTGTGCCTTTTTATCCTATGTTCCAGAAGGATGTTCTGTCTTTCGCTTGTGTAAAGTACGCTGCTGATGTTATCCTGCTTATATGAGCCTCTGGAGTTAGGTTTGATGTTAGGTCCACTTCCAGGGGCCAGATTCACGAAAGCACTTACGCAAGCACTTACGAACGTGTACATCTTTCCTCAATCTTTGACGGCTTTGGTTACATTTATTAAACAGTTTACAAGCATGAAAACTTCCCATTCAACTGTTGTTATCGTTATAAACAGCCTCCTGGTGCTTCGGAGCTCATCAACTGTTTAATAATTGTAAACAAAGTCGCCAAAGATTGAGAAAAGAGGTACAGGTTCGTAAGTGCTTGCGTATGTGCTTTCGTGAATCTTGCCCCTGGTCTTTTTCTTGAGTTGCTACAGGCAGTTGGTTTTGTTTTATTTTGTGTTGTTCCTTTGGTCTCCTGTCACCTGTTCCTATTTTCATCACATTACACTTGATCGTATTGAACTCCAGTAGCCATATCTCTGACCGTCTGTGAAACTTGTTCAAGTCGTCTTGGAGATTCCTACAATTCATTTGTCTCAACTCGTCTCAATAATTTTGCGTCACCTACAAACATCGACTCAACAAACATAAGAAATAGAATTGGTCCCCAGCACCAATCCTTGAAGTATTCTTGTTACTGTTTGACAGTCCGACTTCACACCCCTTACTGTTACTCTCTGGCTTCTGTCTGTTACGTAATTCCTTACCCATGTTAGGGCTTCTCCGCTTACTCCCGCCTGCCTCTAAAGCTTGTATAGTACATCTTAAGTGTTGTACTGTGGCTACCTACCTTGAGGTGCTTCCGGGGCTTAGTGTCCCCGCGGCCCGGTCGTCGACCAGGCCTCCTGGTTGCTGGACTGATCAACCAGGCTGTTAGACGCGGCTGCTCGCAGCCTGACGTATGAGTCACAGCCAAACCTTTGCCAAAATGTGGCAAAGGTTTTTTGCCGATCCAAGCTATGTCAGTGTTTGTTTTTATAACTAATTCTCTAAGTGTGTAACTAGTCTCAATCTCATTTTGTTAAATTTCTTTGGAGGGGTTGCCTGTTAGTGATACTGGTCTGCAGTTCAGTGCCTCTTTTATATCTCCTTTCTTGAAAATTTTTACCATATTAACCTTGTTACAGCAGCTAGGCAACTGTTCCTTTGTAAGCTTAAAGATCTTCGCTAGAGATACGCTGAGGGCCTGCGCTGCCTCTTTTAATATCGACGGTGATACGTTGTCTGACCCAACAGCTTTAGTATCATCTAGTGATGCTAGTTCTTGCTTGACTTCTTCTGCTATCACCTCAATATTGGACAGTCTCTCGTTTACGGTCATCTGATCGTGTAACATGGAGAGCTGCTCAGGCTCGGTTGTGGACACAACATGGAAACTGGTGTTCACTACCTCGCAGATCTCCTTAACGGTTACTGTATATACCATTCTAATTTTTTGAAGTCTTGTCACTCTATTGTCATCATATGGGTGACATGTTTCATTTAATAATAATATGCAATTTCTATGAGTTGAAGTCAGTATAGTGAGATGTTTGTGTCTTATTGTGTCTAAAATTATGCATAGTCTGTCTGTCTGTATGTTTGCATCTGCCTCCAGCTGTTTTTAATTTTCTGCCTCTGTATCACTCTATCTTTTTAACTGCATGGCAGCCTATTGATGTATACCTGATGTATTATTGATGTATATCTAACTGTCTACACCCTTCACAAACATTCGTCCTCTGCTAAACCGGGCAAGAAGGTACCCGTTGATTAAACCAAAAATTCACTGAAAAATATTGTCTATTGGTTCTTTTGAGACCGAAAAATAATACTTCAGCCATCCCTTCAGTTATTTTCTAATGAGCGGAGAGAGGACGCCTGTGCCCGTGGGTCGCAATAACATCAAAACAGACGGACATTGGCATACTTTACACTACTACTACCGTGATGTGACAAGCTTAATTACTTATAATCTGTGTAGTGCCCTACCTCATATAACTCACAATGTGCAGTTGCTGTTAAAAGCCTCCTTAATGGGTAAGGGGGGGAGGGGGATACTTTGCAACACTGTTTTTCTAGGTGCCGATTTGTTTCAAGAATTAAGACATTTTGTTTTACCTGTGGCTGTGTGGGGGACCTGTGGTTGTGTGGGGGACCTGTGACTGTGTGGGGGACCTGTGACTGTGTGGGGGACCTGTGGTTGTGTGGGGGACCTGTGACTGTGTGGGGGACCTGTGGTTGTGTGGGGGACCTGTGACTGTGTGGGGGACCTGTGACTGTGTGGGGGACCTGTGACTGTGTGGGGGACCTGTGGTTGTGTGGGGGACCTGTGACTGTGTGGGGGACCTGTGGTTGTGTGGGGGACCTGTGGTTGTGTGGGGGACCTGTGGCTGTGTGGGGGACCTGTGACTGTGTGGGGGACCTGTGGTTGTGTGGGGGACCTGTGACTGTGTGGGGGACCTGTGACTGTGTGGGGGACCTGTGACTGTGTGGGGGACATGTGACTGTGTGGGGGACCTGTGGTTGTGTGGGGGACCTGTGGTTGTGTGGGGGACCTGTGGCTGTGTGGGGGACATGTGACTGTGTGGGGGACCTGTGGTTGTGTGGGGGACCTGTGACTGTGTGGGGGACATGTGACTGTGTGGGGGACCTGTGACTGTGTGGGGGACATGTGACTGTGTGGGGGACCTGTGACTGTGTGGGGGACCTGTGGTTGTGTGGGGGACCTGTGGCTGTGTGGGGGACCTGTGACTGTGTGGGGGACCTGTGGTTGTGTGGGGGACCTGTGAATGTGTGGGGGACCTGTGACTGTGTGGGGGACCTGTGACTGTGTGGGGGACCTGTGACTGTGTGGGGGACCTGTGGTTGTGTGGGGGACCTGTGACTGTGTGGGGGACCTGTGACTGTGTGGGGGACCTGTGACTGTGTGGGGGACCTGTGGTTGTGTGGGGGACCTGTGGCTGTGTGGGGGACCTGTGACTGTGTGGGGGACCTGTGGTTGTGTGGGGGACCTGTGACTGTGTGGGGGACATGTGACTGTGTGGGGGACCTGTGACTGTGTGGGGGACCTGTGACTGTGTGGGGGACCTGTGGCTGTGTGGGGGACCTGTGGTTGTGTGGGGGACCTGTGGTTGTGTGGGGGACCTGTGGTTGTGTGGGGGACCTGTGGTTGTGTGGGGGACCTTTGGTTGTGTGGGGGACATGTGACTGTGTGGGGGACCTGTGGTTGTGTGGGGGACCTATGACTGTGTGGGGGACATGTGACTGTGTGGGGGACCTGTGGTTGTGTGGGGGACATGTGACTGTGTGGGGGACCTGTGACTGTGTGGGGGACCTGTGACTGTGTGGGGGACCTGTGGTTGTGTGGGGGACATGTGACTGTGTGGGGGACCTGTGGTTGTGTGGGGGACCTGTGACTGTGTGGGGGACCTGTGACTGTGTGGGGGACCTGTGACTGTGTGGGGGACATGTGACTGTGTGGGGGACCTGTGACTGTGTGGGGGACCTGTGGTTGTGTGGGGGACCTGTGACTGTGTGGGGGACATGTGACTGTGTGGGGGACCTGTGGTTGTGTGGGGGACCTGTGACTGTGTGGGGGGACATGTGACTGTGTGGGGGACCTGTGACTGTGTGGGAGACCTGTGACTGTGTGGGGGACCTGTGGTTGTGTGGGGGACATGTGACTGTGTGGGGGACCTGTGACTGTGTGGGGGACCTGTGACTGTGTGGGGGACATGTGACTGTGTGGGGGACCTGTGGTTGTGTGGGGGACCTGTGACTGTGTGGGGGACCTGTGACTGTGTGGGGGGACATGTGACTGTGTGGGGGACATGTGACTGTGTGGGGGACCTGTGACTGTGTGGGGGACCTGTGACTGTGTGGGGGACCTGTGGTTGTGTGGGGGACATGTGACTGTGTGGGGGACATGTGACTGTGTGGGGGACCTGTGACTGTGTGGGGGACATGTGACTGTGTGGGGGACCTGTGACTGTGTGGGGGACCTGTGGTTGTGTGGGGGACATGTGACTGTGTGGGGGACCTGTGACTGTGTGGGGGACCTGTGGCTGTGTGGGGGACATGTGGCTGTGTGGGGGACCTGTGGCTGTGTGGGGGACATGTGACTGTGTGGGGGACATGTGACTGTGTGGGGGACCTGTGACTGTGTGGGGGACATGTGACTGTGTGGGGGACATGTGACTGTGTGGGGGACATGTGACTGTGTGGGGGACATGTGACTGTGTGGGGGACCTGTGGTTGTGTGGGGGACATGTGACTGTGTGGGGGACATGTGACTGTGTGGGGGACCTGTGACTGTGTGGGGGACCTGTGACTGTGTGAGGGACCTGTGACTGTGTGGGGGACCTGTGGTTGTGTGGGGGGACCTGTGGCTGTGTGGGGGACATGTGACTGTGTGGGGGACCTGTGGTTGTGTGGGGGACCTGTGAATGTGTGGGGGACCTGTGGTTGTGTGGGGGACCTGTGAATGTGTGGGGGACCTGTGACTGTGTGGGGGACCTGTGGCTGTGTGGGGGACCTGTGGGTGTGTGGGGGACATGTGACTGCGTGGGGGACCTGTGGTTGTGTGGGGGACATGTGACTGTGTGGGGGGACCTGTGACTGTGTGGGGGACCTGTGACTGTGTGGGGGACCTGTGACTGTGGGGGACCTGTGACTGTGTGGGGGACCTGTGGCTGTGTGGGGGACCTGTGGCTGTGTGGGGGACCTGTGACTGTGTGGGGGACCTGTGGCTGTGTGGGGGACCTGTGGTTGTGTGGGGGACCTGTGGCTGTGTGGGGGACCTGTGGTTGTGTGGGGGACCTGTGACTGTGTGGGGGACCTGTGACTGTGTGGGGGGTGATACAGGCAGCCACCACTCCAAGAATGTGATTTTATTTAAACGCGCCAAAAAAAATGCAAATTACATGCAATCAAATAATTTTCAATTTCTACATATCCATGTATAATGTAATTGCCCACAAAAATATTCCACATATCAGTCCTTCTGAAACATTAACAGTTTAAACAACAGTCGTTTAACAACACAAAACATGGTTTAGTGTTTAACAATGCTACAGGAATTAATATTGCAAGGGTGGGGGGGAACAAATCATATTGCATGCAGTCAGATCATTTGTAATCTCATTTTATTATTTAAGTGAAGAGAAAATATGTCGGTGGAACGCTAATTGAGGAACATGTGTAGTTCTGTTGTTAATATTGTAATTACCGCTTCGTCTGATGTTAGTGAAGGGAGGAAGAGGCCACGACGGCGGTAAATAGAGGAATAAGAGAGAGAGAGGGAAAGATTTGGCGATTGAAAATTGTTGCATTGTTGGCTTTTGTTGCACTGTGCGATGTGTGTGTTGGTTGTTGACGCCAACACGTGAGCAATACTCCCCTGAACCACTAGTTGTTAGTACTAACAGTGTTGTTAGTACTAATAACACTGTTGTTAGTACTAACACTGTTGTTAGTACTAACACTGTTGTTAGTACTAATAACACTGTTGTTAGTACTAACACTGTTGTTAGTACTAATAACACTGTTGTTAGTACTAACACTGTTTTTAGTACTAATAACACTGTTGTTAGTACTAACACTGTTGTTAGTACTAATAACACTGTTGTTAGTACTAACACTGTTGTTAGTACTAACAACACTGTTGTTAGTACTAACACTGTTGTTAGTACTACTAACACTGTTGTTAGTACTAACACTGTTGTTAGTACTAACACTGTTTTTAGTACTAATAACACTGTTGTTAGTACTAACACTGTTGTTAGTACTAATAACACTGTTGTTAGTACTAACACTGTTGTTAGTACTAATAACACTGTTGTTAGTACTAATAACACTGTTGTTAGTACTAACACTAGTGCTAACTAGTGATATTAGTGCTAACACTAGAGTACTAGTGTTATCACTAGAGTCACTACTCTAGGAGGCCTGGTCGACGACCGGGCCGCGGGGACGCTAAGCCCCGGAAGCACCTCAAGGTAACCCTATGGTTGTGCTATCCTTAGACATGATAGTGATCAAGCACACACAGCGGGTACCAAGGTACTGAGGGTACCAAGGTATTGAGGGTACCAAGGTTCTTTTTCTGATATTCAAGTCTTAATGCTTCAATGCTCTCATTCTCTCTCTTCCTCCCCCTCTCTCTTACTCCTTGCTCTCCTTCCCATGCTCTCTTGTTTTTCTCAATTTCAAGTCTTAGTAGATCTGTCTCTTTACTACTGTAAATATATTATTACTAAGATAAAGAATGAACTTATATGTGAAAACAAAGTAAAAGAAGGAAGGAAGGTTAAGTGGGATGATGGGTTTGGGTAAAATATACAAAAAGGAGAAACAAAACTACATCTGAAAGGTTAGGATAAGGATAATATATTCAACAAATACGTCAAAACACAATAAACAAATAAACTACATCTGAAAGGTTAG